CTTGAAAAGCATTTGTGGAAAATCAGGCCAGTCTAGACATAGCCGAGCTGTATGCCCTGAATCAGTTCTTCTTGGGGAGAGTGAGAGAGAGAGGGTATGTCTACACTACAATGTTAGTTCGAAATAACGGACGTTAGGTCGGACTAACTGCCCTGCCGGCACTGCTTCCGGCCATCCTTAAGCCCTGTTCAGAGTCCACTCAATGTGGACTTGCTAGTTCGAATTAGCAAAACGCTAATTCGAACTAGTTTTTAGTTCTAGACGCGTTAGTTCGAATTAGCTTAGTTCGAATTAACTAATTCGAACTAAGTTAGTTCGAACTAACTCTGTAGTGTAGACATACCCAGAGAGAGAGAGACAGGGTGTTTCTGAGTATGTCACAAGATCAGCAAAAATTATCAGTAGGCAAGAAGAAATTATTTATAAGGAAAGACTAAGATAAAAACAACTGACACTACAGAAGTAGATGATAACATTCTATACCTGTCTGAATAGTGTAAACACCATGGTGGAAGAGAAATTATTTTAGTGGATACATGGAGATATAATTAAGCATAATAGATTTTAGACTGTAAATTCTATAGGGTAGGGACTATGTTTTAGTCTACATTTGTACAGTACTGAATCCTGGTTGGGACTTTTAGACACATTATAACACAAATACAGAAAGAAGTGGGATGAAATAAAGACAGGGAAAATCTAGACTGTGAGATCTAGTTATTTGTGGAGTGGTCTCCCTAAAGGCAGTAGTGGAAGTCCTATCCCTTGGATAATTTAAAAACAAATTATTACTATTTATTTGTATTGCAACAACACCTAAGAGCAGCAGTCATGGAACAGGACCACATTGTGCTAAGCACTAAACAAACACAGGAAAAAAAGACAGCTAAATTGGACAGTGTAGTGGAGCACCTGACCTCCTTTGGAAGGGGTTATAACAGGCTGGAGGGAGCCTGTGCAGACCCTGGCCAATTAGGAAAGGGCTTCTAGAACTGACCAATCAAGAAAGGCTTGCTGGAGCAGCCCAGCTATAAGGGGCTGCTCAGCAGACTGGAGGTGGACTCTTCTGAGAGGTATGGGGAAGAAAACCTGCAGAAGAAGAAGACAGCAGAAGTAGAAGAGAGAAAACTACAGTTGATATCTGCCAGATTGAAGCCCTGACACAGGGGCAGAGAAGGTGCTGGCGATATGGGGAAGTGGTCCAGGGAAAGCAGGTAGTAGAGAGAAGTGGAGGAGTGCAGTAAGTGGATGCTGCTTGAGGGTCCCTGGGCCAGAGCCAAGAATAACAGGTGGGCCTGTCTCCCTTGCCCCACTGGTGCTAGAGAATGTAAACTGCTAAAGGATTGCAGTGTGCCCCTGATGGAGGAGTTAG